ATTCATAGATTATAGGTGCAGTTTTAACAAGATCTTGATAAAGGGGAAGGTAAAATAATTGATTATTCGGACGCACGAATCTGCTGACCTGTACTATTAAATTGAAAAATTCTAAAATGTAACCTTTCCCACCTGCCGAAACGCCCTACTGTTATTGAAAGACACTTCAGTGGATGTGAGATGGGAAACGTGACTAATTTAAGATATCGACCTTCTCAATTTTTTTTCGTTGCATTGTAATTGAAGAGTGGTACGTTGAACTCGTTCACATGTGACCTCTGTAATTATTAAACTTTGTCGAGCATCCTACAATGTAAACAATCTACATACAATAAGGTGCATAAGTTTACTTAAGCGTAAAAGTATACAATCACAAGAGACAAATGAAAGCAATGAGTAACTTTTAACAGACATATAACTAAATTGGGACTTAACTCGTAGGTATTCTAAAGTAAATATAAATAAAAGAACCGAGTTCTTGCACGTCCTTCATGTTTTCCGCTTGCATCGATTAACAAATAAAAGTAACAAGCGTTACCGTGTGGTGTACTACTCGAAAGGTGGTGGATCCTGGTACCTACAATATCGGAATGTGAATTAATAGTAGAATCTCTTACATTACTTCGGTTAAGTAAATATCCGAATAGTACACAATGGGAACAACTCATACAGTAAGCTCATACCAGCTACAGCTAATCGTAAGAATGTAGCAAATATGTACGGGTATAAGTTTGAAAATGGAGAATGGGTATGAAGGTCACAGACGTATGTTTCTAGTTGTTAAGGAAATTGTTCAAAAATAATTTATTAATCACGCTGTAACAGGAGGATAAGATCTGCACAATGTGGATACATGAAAAGTATTTTTCTACAATCGATATCCAAAGTAGGCATTTGCGCTCGTATTTGACAACGCAAACGTCATCTTTTTCGAGGAATGTCACTTTGTCGCTTATAAGCGACAAAATAGAAAAAACGCTCGCTCTCCCAATTATTAACTATAAATCAAATATGCATTGCTCAGAGTATCCAATGACAACGAGTAAATGACATCTTTCATTTGGGCATAAGATTAAAATGATTTGAGTGAAAAATTTAAATTTTTGGAAATATGTGAACTGCTCGATTGTAGAAAAAACCTTGTGTGTAATTCGAGCGCAAATTGATTGTCGATTTCAAGAGATTGCCGCGCTCCTTCGTCGCGCGTCAACTGTCTCTTTCAATCGACAATATATCATTTTGCGCTCTTAATACACAAATAGCTATTGTGTACTTCACTTTAAAAAACAGTTTGATGCAGAATATAACGTCATGCACAACACAATCACGTCAGAAGCGAGATTGAAGTGAAAAGTAAACAACAATTTTTCATTAGGAGCAGGACCTGAATGGGCAAAAAAAATTGACTCGGGGGAGGGGGGGGGGGCTGATGGCACACCGGGCTTGCACCAATCACGGAAATTGGAATATACGACCTCAAATGATTTCCCATGAGGCAGGCCAAGTCGACTCTTCCAACGAAGATCTAGGGATACTTGGGAGATTACTATCCTTTTTGGTGCCAGAAGGAAACCTTAAAAAGCAAATTCGAGAGACCACATAAGAAAGGAACCCCATCATTTTCAATCATTGGTCAAAGATAGCGGCGGCAAGCCAGACTGGGTTCTTGTCCACCAATTTCCCCAAGCGGGGATCCAGAAGAGTCCAGCAGTCTGTGAATTTTCTTGAAGGAATGAAAGAATAAACAGTCACAGAGTAGTTGGAGGAGTTATCGAATTTGTCGGTAAGAAAATTTATTTTCCCGTACAATGCGATCGATAAGTAAAGCTTTACGGTATTCAGATTCAGTGCTTGAATCTTTCGTAACGGAAAAAACTGATTCGGCAAAGCCAGGATGAATTAACGATCCATAGACGTATGAAACTATAATGAAAGATTCAAGTGATTAGATTAGGCAGCAAATTACGAAGATACATGACGCCAACATATCGCGGGATTGCGCTCATTAATACATGATGGCTCAAACAGTACTGATTTGGTAATTAGGTGTTTTTATTATGTGCATTTATTACTATAGTGTAATTATTCCTATGCATATTTTTAATTGAATTGTTAAATAATAGGATTCAGCTAAATCCTTTGACGGTTTTCTATGTCTCTTGGCAAGTTGGCCAACACCTCGAGTCACATATTTAAGTTTAAACAATAAACAACTACAATGTGGGACCCTGAAAGCTGAAACACTAGTAATAGTCGGGCCATTCGACATGACGGTATAATTTGGGAGTACCAATTATCCTTTTTACAGTGGTTATACAGGTTTATTAGGATGCCAAAAAATCATGATTGCCATCTCAAAGCGGTAGCTAATAGATATGGCGGCCAATCAAAGATGGCGGAATGTGAGTTTTATAAAATCAACTATATCTCTGGAATAGTTGATCCAATTTCATTATTCTTTTTTGTAATGAAAGCTCTTTATATGTGCTATAAATATTGTTATAAGTACTTTTTCGATAAAATCAACTGTTAATAAGTAATTAAAAAAAATGTTTTTTTTTCCGAATTTTCTTTACTTACTACCTATATTAATCCACAATAAATGGTAAAATATGCGCATATATATGCAGAATGTGTGAAAAATATTCAAACAGTTTTGATGTATATGCACACATATGCAAAATTATATGTTGCATAATTTCTAATAAAAAAGGAATTACGATACGATAAAACTAGCAATAAGATGTTTCTCTAAGTTTTCTGCACGAAATGATTGTCTCCTGTCGCTAAGAATTAATTTTTAAGCACTAAGCAGAGAAACGTCTATCTACATCAACAAAAGTAATAGGTGCATTAGAAAACGACAAACTATTGGGAGCAATTTCCAAACATTTCACAATATCACCTATCAATACCGTAGAGAAAGAGAAAGATAAAATTGTTTGGAAATGAAATTAAACATCAATTAAATCAATAAATTTTCCTTCCGGATATTGCAGTATGTTTCATGATCGGGTCAGTTATAAAAATCCGCAAAAATGTTTTAAAAATTCAAATTAAAATCGATTAAATCTAAAAAAAAATTAAATATCCAAAAATAAATTCGGTTTAATCGCAAATGTTGTAAATCGAAAATACACAAAATCTTATAAGAGTACAACCAAAAATAGACGATATTCATTTTGTATATAAGTATTCACAGCTTTAGCTGATCAACAAATTTGAATAAAAATAAAATAAGTGCTTCCAAACATCAAGAAGATGGTGAAATTATGCAAAAATATATGTATCATATGTGGAGAGATTGCACCTTTTAGTGAATTGCACTCTCCAAAATACAGGCAATCTTAGGCCGTGTTATACAACGTTGCATTACAAGAATTTTCACCGTCTTACTAGGAGATACATCGGATAAACTGTTGTACATTGTGAAATAGAAGTAAGTAAGACTTTGCAGGCTTCTTCTGATAGTGAAAGTTCAATCTCATAACAACCAATCCAGAGGCGTTTGAAACGAAAAAAAATCAGGCCTACGAGTTCAATATAAATTTAAGAAGGAAAGACGATCTATGGAACTATTACTTCAGGTTCTTCATCTTTTTTTTTTTAAATATATATTTTTATTGCCAGCTCAACAATTAACATTGTTATACATAGCATAGATAACATATATGTGGGTAAGTTAATTGGAAAATAACATTAAAGACTAATTCGTTGCGTCTTAAGAATAACAATACTGTTGTGATTGAATATGTTAGTCACTTCCTTCTTCAGAGGTTATCAGGTCTTGTGGTAGCTGACGTTTGAGTCTAGTGTGAATGTTTCTTTGGCATAGGTTGTAGTGTATAGCTCCACTGCACTCATGTATGTTTTTAATGAAGTTTTTGGTGCATTTTATAATGTGGTCTTGAATTGGGGTAACTCCTAGTTCATAATGTAGTTGGGCATTTCTCACATACCATGGTGAATTTACAGCTATTCGCAGCACTTTATTTTGCAGCCTCTGTAGTTTTTTTATGTTTGTTTTAGAAGTGTTGCTCCACACCGGTGATGCATATAAGGCAAGGGGTCGAATGAGGGATTTATATAAGACTATTGCGCATTCTGGTTTTAGGTGTGATTTTCTATTTATTAGTGAATATAGCTGTTTGAGTCTGCTGTAGCACTGTATTAATTTTTGATTAATGTGATAACTCCAAGTTAATCTTGTGTCTAGATACACGCCTAGGTACTTAACACTGATAAGAAACTACTATACAAAAACTAAATACAAAAATCATTGTAGTTACGTCTACAGACATATTGTAGCTGAAGAGGCATGTTAAGACCAGATCAAATACCAAATGATGATGAAATTGGTATGTGCGGATTATGTTTCTCCCCGTATAACTTCACTTCTCTACTTTAATTGAAATTGTATCTCGATTTGGACGACACTGGGTTCGTTGTCATTACAGTTGTAAAATTGACTCTTTAATGGTGAAAAAAATCCCTTTAATAAGTACTGGGAAAACTCTAAGAAGAAAGGATTCACATAAGCGACGCGTACTCTTTGCCATTCTGTTCTAAAACCCCCTCATTAATATTCGCTACTTGTGATAAATTTTGCTAAAAGATATAAACAAAAATTACCAACACCGCTACATCCGGTTTACTGATTTGTCTAATAATTAGTATTAGACACGCGTCAGTAAAATAGTTTCAATTAAAAACCCCATGCAGGGACGTGATAAGCACCCTCGATGTCGAGTTGTCATTCGGCATGAATACGAGCACAACATGTTGATCACACGCACATGATTATATATTTTCGAGCGACCGTGCTACATTCAATAAATAATTACAACATAATACGCTTCTAGTTCTAGTTATTCTTTTACATTCACGATTTTTTGTTTGAAAAACGATAAACGCGTACAGGAGCACAAATAAGCTTTGGATTTAAATCTAACGATAATGATTATAATAGTTAGATAAGAAATAGACGAACAAATACTTACCAATTACCGTAAAATTGACTTTACTGTTCCTAGTAGGTGAATTTCTGAAATCAACTCTACATCTGTAAATCCCTTCATCGGAAAGTTGAATTTCACTAATTAGTAAAGTTGCCGGATTTGTTGTTGAACGGAAATACGCTCTTGGGCCAAAAACGGCTGGAGATGACCATAATTTTGCTTGATTAAACTGACGACTTCGTACATCAAAACTGAAACAAAATTTACTAATTACTACCTTCTTTAAAAAATTACAAAGAAGTGCGATGTACATTTGTACAGAGTAATCGCGAATAGTCTGTTCCAGTGGTGTTAATCCCTTCGGGAACTCTGTCCATACTGAGAATTCCGGCATCAACGTAAGTCTTATATAAATACGTACTCGCGCTTTACACTTCGTTATTTCAAATGGAATCCCCTAGTTTGTATTCATTTTTTAACTTAGTTTTGTCTCCTTCAAACTGAATTGACGTTAGTAATATCTGTGAAACAGGCTTATTATTTTCAAGAGTCTAAAATTGTCATCGTCTAGGCCTCTTAACAGTACCTGGTCCCCATGGCTTCTCTCACCCTGGACCACTAATTACAAGAACCACAAAGAGCATCGCTGGCTTGCATTCACCTACCAAGCTACCTATTATCTTACTCAGCAACACTCAAACATGCTACAGGGTTAATCAGAACAGAGGATCTTCTCACGTCCAGGACCTGGAAACGTATCCTCCTGTACAATCCCTACCCTCATGCATGGGACTAAACGAGGGCCTGTAAGAGTGTTACCATGTCAGCTGGATATACCGGGCCCTCTTTGTTCCCGAAGCAGTCACGGTGAAACCGTTCCCATGACGTAACTCTCATGCGCAATAAAGTGCCATGGCTCTCACCCATACAAACACAATGTATATTGTAACGTTCCGTGTCTGCGTTGAATATACCCACAGGAAGTGTTTGATTGACTGCGCATTTAGTGGGTTGATATCGAGTGAGATGGTACCACTGGGTTTGAGGCAACGACACTTTGACTTTTGTCGTAATGATAGGTACTTACTTCACGAAACATGTTGAAATCTTATGAAATTCCTGAGGAATCAAGTTAAATTTGCAAAAATTATTTATCTAAACGTCTTAACGTGAATGGGAATTTGCTAACCTTAATCTTCGTAAGCATATTTTGCATACTTCCGTTGTTTACAATATTTTCATTATTTCTAGGTTAGTTTATATATTCCCGGTAAATTCGAAATTGATTAATATATCATCTACTCTATTGCATTTGTATGGGAACTCAATCATTGGGATAAGCAAGGTTAATCGTATCAACATATGTTTGATTTCCCCATTTTAGTTCCTTTCCCGGATATCTTATCTGTACCGAAAGAGTATCGTTAACACTTGACTATTCGACAAACTAGTAACTTGATCTATTAAGATACCGTTATATTCAGCAATTGTGGTGAATTTCCATCAATCATCTGGGACCGCAGACATAATGTCAGAACCCCCTGGTGCAGGAGCTTTGCAAACTCATATGGTCCTTCCTTTTTGTTTTCTTTTTAGTTTCATTTTGGCAGGATTTTGTGCCTGTCTGGCGCCGACCCTATACGGGTTTGCATTTGATCCGGATTATTTAACTGAGAGACATACTCTTCCCGACTAGCCGATCATTCCCGTTTCCTACCCCTAAAGAATCGCTACAATATCTAGGTGCAATAACCCACCCTCACAATGAACGAGGATAATCAGGATTCTTCCAACGCGATGGGGTTAGACAGCTCAGGTACCGGGATCGACCGGCTCGCACGAATCCTGGGGTACGGAGCATCAAACACGGTGGGCAGGATGGATTCAGACGGGGAGCGCTTCCTCCGATGTGCTGGGTCGAACGAATCCTTGAGGTACATAGCACTTCTACCGATCAGAAGGCCCTCACGCGCCCTTATATTGGCCCAGAGCACTTACTGCCGTAACTTAACTGTATGTGTACCAAATTTGATTCCAATCGATTCAGCCGTTTAGCTGGCAATGAGGGTATGACACACGTGCGCATGCGTGATTCTGTCCAAAGCTCTTTACCTCCTCCTTTTATGTACTACATTGGGTTCCAATCGGTTCAGCCGTTTAGCCAAAAATGAGAGTGCAAACGGACCGATAGACCGACATCATCGAGATTTTGTTTGATTCGAATTTCTGATGCTTCAAAACGTGTATTTCCGTCAAAAAAGTGGGGGGTAATTGTTTACCTCAATGCAATATCTCCCTTACTAACGTGCGAGTGGTCAAAAAATGTGCATCGACCGGGAATCGAACCCGGGCCCCCGTGTGGCAGCCACAACAATTAGACAAACGAAGACGCCGCGACGGTTAGCATCTTAATAGGTATGGAATGGATTAACTATTTTGAGGGATAGAAAACGTAGTGTATTATACACGGGGGAAAAGCAGAACACTCACTTTTCCCCCTTGTATAATAAATAGCTATTTCTACATGTGATCTTCTTTGCCCTATAAACAAATAGAAAGATTGCGAGGTATTTTAAATATATCGACAAGCATGCAAAATATGACAGTGTTGCGCAGATTTATCTATGCTTTTATATTTACTCCATAGGAGGTTTTCCCTAAAAGACAGAAATGTGGTGTTGTCATCCGTGCCTGTAGTTTATTCAAAGTATATTAATTGATTAGACAGCAAAATCTAAACGCCTCAATGTTTGCCATTTATACGAAACGTACGTTAGAAGTTTTAAACACTTCGCAATTACAAAATTTGTCTGGATGTGCACAATAGCAGATCCATTGGAAAAAGTATTACCTTTTATGGGTCCTTTTATTAGTGGCTTCAGTTTATGATCATAAACCCTAACTATTGCGAGTTCCTCTGAAAAATAAACAGAGCGCATAAAACATAAATGCAAATTGATCGTAATTTTACCCTTTATCTCGGTTAGCCATACACATTTCTAGAGAGGAAATTAAAACTGCAAGAATCCCACCTCATGCAGGTAGAAACTTTAATTACACCTGCTTTACGTTGTCAATTCCATTTTAATAAGTGAATCGTAATATAGCAGGTAGAGTTTGAAGTATCTACTAACCGAGTGATTTAATATTAAAACGAATTCAGAGCAAAGTTTATGAGTTAAATCGCTCTACGAAGTGTTTATGTTCTTTGCCTGCACACTTAACTTTGCCTTGGCGTCTTTTAACTTGATTTAAGTGTTCTATTAAAACAACTATGTACTTCTGGCTCCAGACTCGACTTCGGCTTTTATTCAAGAATGAATATTCATTACTTAACTACGTCTTATAGTAGTACTTCTCTTGCTGACAATAATAATGCAACGGAACTTGCCAAATAACGCTCACTTTTTAAATTTACTACCATCACCCCCTCAAAAATACTAACACAACCTCATTACCTAAATAACGACCCGTAGTGGGGTTTTCAGTTAAAAGGCACTTAAGTGGGCTATGAATAACTAAGCGTCGCGTCGTCGAGTGCATAAAACAGTGTACGAGAGTTCGCTCATTGTAAAAATAAAATAGTTTGATAATTTAAGTGGATATTCAAAGCTTAAACAGTGTAGCATTAAAGTCATCCATCTCTAAGTTGAGCGAAACGGTTTTCGAGTTTTTAGATTACATGCAGATTCGAAAAAGATCCCACTTGGCAGTTTAAGTCTTAAAGGATAAGTTTAATAGCGTTCAACTAGTTCAGATTGTAAGGACAAAATGAGATCGTTATATGGTAATTGCTGCAGTCTTCTGATAAAAGCTTTAGAGCGAGACACCTTTTAATAAATACGCGTAGGGTTTAATACGCTCGACAAACAAGCGCCCAGTTATTAAAAACTGTGTTGAGCGACGTTTGTTGCAATTTATTGCGATTTTCGATCAAGCTTTTGTCGTGTTAAGGCGCCCATAAGATCCGTTATTCGAGAGAAAATACCGTCATTTGGAGACAGTTTTAGGAGGTAGTTTAGAAAAGTCTCACTTGAAGCTCGGCGATAAATTTTTAGGTTGAATACTAAAACTTTATCGAACGATTCCAATTGAGTGTTTTTTCGTAGTTTAATTATATTTATTGTGCGTGTTACTTTCGACAAAGGAATCATAGGCGCAATTACACGCCTGACACGCGTATAAAAGTTTAATTTTGGGGTTTAAATTGAACGGGATCGTGGGAAGAATCACCTGAATACTCTGTTAACTATGAGATAAACAACATGATGGCGAGGAGAAAGTTTGTTTAACGAAATCAATGTCTGCGTTCAAATAAGTGTTGGAAATTCAGTAAAACGTTTTCTTATAGTAACACAATAAAGTGTTTTGGAACGACGTATAAAACCCATTTTACGTAATTATATACAGTTGGAATGGTTTATTTTCAACATAACAGAAGATAATACTTTAATATAGAAGGCTCGACTGTTGTAACTTAATTTGCCATAACACTGATGATATTCTACTTCGCAAATTAGAGAAGTTAACTTATAATTTCCAGATACTCGGATCTTTTGGAACTGTCATTTAGTTTATAATGTACGTCATCTCACAAAAGTATGAAATAATAATCTTGGTACTAAAGGTAAGTGCCTGTAGCACGACGATTAAGTTTCATTACACACATGAAAAATTACAATCGTGATAAACGTACCTTTTAATTGAGACAGTTTGCATTAAGCTCGTACTAAGACGAGTGCGAAACATGGAGATTACCTTCATAAACTAAATTATAAGGAAAATTAATTATTTTAATTACCAAATTTTGTGGAAAACTAATACTAAGACAAGTATTTACAACTTATTCTTCATTAGGCCAGTCAACAACAACATCAAACAACGAAAACGCGCATGTACGGGTATCTACAATATTTTTATATGTTGTTAGATCGCGTGAAAGTAGTTTACACCAAAACGCCGAAACCGATGCGCTACATACAGGATGATCGAAAAACCGCGAAATTCTGGAACTTCAGCTAAACTATCGGATTTTGGGTAAATGATGAAAACATTGTACTGAATAATGCTGGTCGGGTCGTCTGCACCCTCGTCTTCCTGGTGCAGGGCGATAGGATGACGATATTCCAATTTCGCGCTTTGCAAACAGCATACGATAGAGCACTTGAACCCTGCTTTTGCTAAGCACCCTTTTTTGCATTTGCAAAGTTACCCGTTCTTAGCAGGGTCTGAGGAGCAGACATTGATTGCT